CATCGAGATTCACAAAGTGCTGCGCCTGCCACGAAATCTGCACATCGGAGATCCAAAATGAGCAAATTGCACGAGGCTTTCGCAAATTTTGAAATGCGTTTCAGAAATGCTGTGCCTGCCACGAAATCATGCCTGCAGGTCATACGAAATGCTGCACTGGCCACGCAAAAGCATCCTCAAGTTCAAATTCCAAAAATGCGACCCCTCTCACGAATTCAGCCGTTTCACCTCAAAATATCGCATCCATGGTGCGGATTCCCTGCGCCTGCCACGTGAAACGCAATCCTGCGAATGACACACGCCTGCCAACGTTTTTGCAACGTCCACAAAACACTGCGCCTGCCACGAAATTTGCAAAGTCTCCGATTCCTTGCACCTGCCACGTAAAATGACCTTTTCGAGGCTCCAATGTGTCGAATTCCTTGCGCCTGCCACGCAAAATGCACTTCATGTCCGAAAACGAGCACGGCACCTGCACGAGAGCTTTGTCCCGGAAGCGCGAAAGGCGCGGCCCCCACTTTATGCGAGCCTGCGCAGTCAAAATGGACATGAGGAATTCAAAAAGTAACTTTTGTGCGAGCCGGCCCACGCAAAATGCCGGGGCCACACGCGCGAACCCCGATCTAAACCCGCTTAACTCTTACCGTAAGAACCCCTTAGTGCGGAGCACTATTTGGGGAAAAAAACATCACTGCCCCTGCTTTGTCCGTTTCCAACGACCTCAACGACCTCCTCGGAACCCTCTTTGAAACGAAGGGTCCCTGGAGCCTGTTCTCACTTTGAACCTTCGAACGGCTAGAATCTGGAAAAAGGGGAAACAAGCAACTACATTAAGGACAAGACTAGACCACTTTCCTTTCCTCCACTGGGGCAGGGGGGTTGGGCCACTTTTCGTGTGCCCAAACACCCCAGGAACCGCAGCGACCGAAGAACCCACCGCTCCCCACCGCGGGAACCGCTCGGGCCCTCACCGAGGTGAGACACGTGGCTTCCAAGCGCTCCAGGCGCAACCTCATGGCCAGGTAGGAGACTCGAGGCCCGTAAGTCACAGGAAGACATGACCCCCAAAAGCTACGTTTTTTATATGGAGTTCTTCCTCTTCTACATTTGGGGATGAAGTTGCTCGAAAGATATGGAGACCACAGGCAATTTTTTGCAAGTTGGACACTTTCTTTCATGGCAGAACAAATGTCGAAATACATGTCAGAGCACATACCAGTACCAAAGTCGGTCCATATGTCCATATGGCCATATAGCAGAACAAATGTCAGAACACACTCCAACAAACACGTCAGAACACAGCCCAGAACAATTCCCAGCTTTTATGATAGATGATGTGCCAAGGCACAAGCCAGACTTGATGCCAGAACAACTGGAAGCAAGAAACATGAAGCAGTGACTGAAAGAAGAATGTGTTTGGCTGCGTAACAAACGTGCAAAACTGTTTGTCCGGGTGGTCCTGCGATGGCTTTCTTCAATTCCTCTGGCATCACTGGGCAGCAACCTCCTGCGCCTTGGACTCCGCAAGGCTCGAAGACCGTGCGCATGTGTCTGTGTGTCCGTGGATATCTGGCTGCAATGCTCTTTGCCTAGGAACGAGAGGGCCTTGTCACATATTAGACGGGCAAAGAGTTGCAAAGTTGGCGTCGAGCACTCAGCGATCAGTTTCGCCAGCATTGTGCCCCCCAAAATGCCTTTGTAAGCTAGGTGGGAGCTTAAGAGCTTGGCGGGCCACATGGCAGGCCACCTCTCTTTCATCTTCACGGCCTTGACAGCCCTCTGTAGCAAAATGAACTTGAAAGAGTTACCAGGCTCCTCATGGCTTCTCGCTCCAAGTTCTGCGGGCGCTCTGATTGCACAGCATTGTCTGTGGCCTGCGAGCCTCATCGGCAGCGATGCGTTAGTCTTTTCCAGAAGATGGTCAGGCCGAAGGGCGCTGAAAGTATCTCGGGCAATCTGCTTCAGGAGAGCCAGGGGCCCATGTAAAAACATTCGGGTCAGCTTTCACCACAGCTTGTTGGCGCAAGTTCACAATGGCAAGTGGAGCGGAGCCGGGATCAGCGCTCAGACAACACAGGCCGAGCTACAGCTGGCAAGCAGTAGCGACAGCGAATGCCCCTTGTCTTTACCGGACAAAGCAGCAACTGTGCGACTGTTGTGATGGGGTTATAATGGATTGGGGAATGGACGTGGCTGCATGCTGTGCTGGTTGTTGGTGTGGCTGTTGTGGTGGTGTTTTGCTTGAATAAAGGAGAGTACCCATGCAAAGGAACGCATCAGCAACTCTGGTCTCCATATGTTTCGAGTAACTTCATCCCCAAATAGAAGTTCCCAAGTAGAAGTTCCCGCTGACCCAGTCCTACCATTCTTGAGGACAAAGGCGGGCGACAAACTACTACAGACCGACCCTACGAATGCCGATGGACGGCACGGAGGAACCTGAAGGGGTCACCACCGAGAAACTCATGATTCATCCCACGTGTTTTTGTCGGAATGCCATCATTTCTTGTTGCAAACGGAAGAACTCTGCAAAACAGGCCTGGTTCGAAGCCGAGTGTTTATATAGAGTCTTTATGTTAAATGGATAGATGATGATATGATATGATATGAAGATTATTTCCTTTTCAGATGTAGCAAAGCGAGGATCACCTCCTCTGAAACCTACCAAAGCGAGCCACAAATCCATGACCAAACTCCCCCGTGCGGAAGGAACCTGCGTGCGGAACTCCTGCGTTCCGTTCGCCGGGCGCGACGGAAGGAAACTCGTCGTCTCAGCGTGCGGATTGAGCATCGTCTCTCCCAAAAACGGAGTCCTTTCGCCGTGGAAAACTGCTGGCAAGCGGTTTTGCAAAGGAATACTTCGCCTTCATCTGTTACAGTAAATTTTACATATGGAAGAAATTGGAAGAAGCTTGGGGTCTTTGCGTCGGCTGCCGTAATAAGCCGTATCTCAACCTCTCAGAAGGAAATGGCGAAGCCCGCGGCATGGGCAACACACGGGCATCCGTCGCTGCTGTCTCTATCCACTGGCATCCCGGACAAGATCTCTGCCAAGGAAACTGGCTCGGGGAGTTTGGTTCGACAACCCCGGTGGCTTCCCTCTGACTCATTGGATTGACTCCAAGTGACGGACCAGTGGACACTCTTTTGAAGGACTTATTTTTGGAAAGCACAGATTCCAACGGTGAAAGTGGCAGCTTGACATTCGATGCAGCAAGTGATTCTCAGCACCAAAGGCTCTTGGCTGATGATCAGGTGGGGACATGATCCTTGAAAAAAGATGTGCTCGTTCGGTGCATCTTTAGATCCACGTAGCCACGTTTTCAAGTGCTGAAAAACCAAGGCCTGCGACCCTTCCCACTCTCGTCATCGTTCCGTGGGCGGAGCGCCTTTTTCAAGACCCGACCCAGTTCTCCTCGAGACCCACCAAGGCTGTTCTCCCATCAAAGAACCTTCCCATCGTCGGTCGACCCGGAATCCACCAGCGCTCGACGTCGAGTCCCATCATTTTCCGTGTTGGAGAGTGGGCTACTTCGGGCTGCCAGAATCCACGGACTTCCCCAAACGGAAAGCTCCGGCCACCTGCGGCCCACGGCACCCAAACAAACCCAATCTGCATCTGGTGTCGGCTTCCAAATGCCTCTGGAGTGTTCACTTTCGGATCTTGAAATCTCAGGTGCCTCAAAAATCCTATGAAGGAGGGACGAAGCCTTCGAGTGGCGAACCAAAAGAAACTGACAATAATATATATATATATAATAAGACACCCAAAAAATGTTTTGCTTCGGGTTGCTTTCAGGTCTAACCTCCCTTGGTGAACCTCGCGACTCCAACGGGTGGATCTCCTTCCAACGGACCGCCGCTTGCGTCCGTCGCCTGGACGCGACTTCTCGCCCCCGCGGCGCTCGCGGGACTTGGACGCCTCAGGGGTGCGGAACGCGCGCGCGCGCGCGGTCGGGTTCCGAACGCCACGCGGTCGCGGCGGTGAGGATCGGTCGCCGAATGAGAACACGTGATCTGAGTGATCGGATCTGTCAAGATCATGGCTCATCTGAGGGATCGGATCGTGAAAATGTCCAAATCCTTTGACCCGACCTCATGTCACACTCGTGATGTCACCAATAAAGTACCAGCTGGCAGAGACCACTCACCTCAACCTGGGGCGCGTCTCTGTGATGTTGCACCGTCTCTTGGTTTTTGCACTCTCTGCACCTCACCCGTGAGAAAGTGCACTCCAACGAAGCCGTCGTGGGTGCGTCGAGTCCGAAACAAGCTCCGTCGAGACCAAGCTCCAACTCTCCCCGTCAAGTCCGTCGAACTCCTCGCCGCTTGCCGCCAAGTCCGTCCAATTTCGATGAGAGAAGCCACCTGATCCCAACACCCAAAAAGATAGGAATTGAGAATCGATAGGAATTCTTCCAGAAGCAACCTGGTTCCCAGTTTCGCCGTCAAGTCCGGTCCAGGGAAGACGATTTGATGTTCACCGTTCCCGGAATGCCTCGAAGTTCCCGTTCACTCAGGTCCCCTAAACAGTCGATGGATCCTTCTTTCTGATCGAGGCCATGAGTCGAACAGGCCAGGCAGCGAGGGGGGGGGTTCGCCGACCACCCGAGAGCGGAGAATTCAGCTGAGATCCCAACCCCAAACAAGGAGAAGGGCCACCTTGAGACTGCAAGGGCACTCAAATCAATACGGAGAACACGAGCAGGTGGGTGACAAGGAGTTACAGTCCCAAGTAATCAAAGTGACAGTTTCTTGCTGACTGTTCAAGTCACTGAATTCAAAACCCAAGTGGTTGCGCCAGAGGGGGGGTGCTGTTTGAAACAGATCCGTTTTTCCTGGTGGTTTGAACCTCACATAATTCCTTGCAAAAGCTGCTCAAACACCCATGGTTGCGGTGTTGATTTCTTGAAACAAGTGATCAAGTTGATTCCCACACCATGCAGTGAACCCACCATGGCCACCCACCAATGAACAGAACGACAAAAACTTGAACGATGAAAAGGTCATTGTCGTGTTCTATTTCAAGTGTCCTTGTATGTTTCTTTTGTTTGTGTTCGGTTTGTCCGGCTTGTCCCACGACCATCCCATCCGGGGCTTCCACCATCTCCAGCGCTGGGCCAAGAATGGTTTCTACTTGAGCGGACACTGGTGCAGGACCATGTTCAAAGTCCACCTTGTTGTTTTCATGCCCATTGTCCAAGGCATTGATCATTTCAACTGGGCCTGTTGCGCAAGCTACGCTACACCCCAGTCGTCAGTCACCCGTTGCCAGCACGACAAGCACAGCACGCGTTCCGCGTTCGCCAAGCAGGCTCCGTCCGATCTACACCGATTGGAAGCACAGGATCCAACCGACCACATCCATTCCCGCAGCTTCCCCACCAAAGCTTCCCCACATTGGGAGTTCCTTCCAGTGACATGGCGACAGATGCGGTCGACCTACCCGAGCGGTTCCGTCTTCTGCCCGCAGCGGTTCCGTGATGTTCGATGGCAGTTCAATCCTTTTGTGAGGAGGGGTGATATCTTGACATCTTGCTAGCATATAGATCTGTGGCGTCCAGGTGGCCTTGGGTTGATTCAGAAGTCCGAACTTGAAACCTGCAAAAAATGCAAGGATGCTACGAACTGCAACAAACATGTCCGACATGCACACATAAATGCAGGTTTGGAGTCAAACTTTGCGGCATCCAGAGACATAACTACAAGCGACTACAAGCTTGAAAAATTCAAGCAAAGAAACTCCTAAACAACCTACAAACCCCAAGCAAGTGCTTTGTTCAGCTGGGACAGTCACTTTGCAGCTTCGTGGTAAACATGTCGAGTCTAGTTGTCCCTCCTCCGCCCAATATAAGTAATATAGAAACAGAGATTCTCATATGTGTCAGGTGGTACAGGTTTGCGTCATATGACATAAGAGTATGGCTCCGAGGGCCACTCCAACATGGTCAAACAAAAGTCACTGAGTCACTAAGCCGCCACCCCCCCACCTATATTGCGCAGGCTGCGCAGTAACAACACACACCTGTGGCACCTGTCCATCTGCCTTGCGGCGGAGTGTTTCCGCAACGCGGCTGCGGACTTCGCCCAACCAACCCTTTTGCTTCGGACCGTCGGATCGCTGAACCACGAGCCTGAACGAAAAGCTGAACGAAAATCCTGAGATTTCGGACCTCCACCGGGTGGGGCCATCGGATCTGTAAGCCAAGCACTAGCGACCTTACAACCTGAGCGACCAAAAAAACGGACGACAGTACACCCGTTGAACATCCCTTTTGGGCGGTTCCCCAACTTGGAAGGCCATTCTTGAGGCCGGAAGACTCACAGGCAGCCTGTCCGTGCTAGTTCACCAGTCATTTTTGTGGCCCCCCCTCACATTGGAGCTGTCCGCTGTCGAATTAGAAATGCAGCACATCTACAGCACGCCACCGTAATCTACCTCAGCCCCTGCTCAGCTGATTCTCTTGAAAGGTGCGAATCCTGCCGAGGGACCGAAGGGGGACCGAAGTGCAGAAGCGGCGAAGATCAATTGGTCCAACATACTGGCGTGTGCGTGACAAGCGAAGCGTGTTCGAACGTCCTCAAGCAGGGCCGGCAGGACCCACAAATATAAACAATTGGTCAACTGAAAACATTCTAAACCCACTGGCTACTGGTTTCTGAACGGTGCTCTCCCCTGTTGGAAAACACGCCTATCTCTTGTGACCCACCAGCGACACGCCCGGTTTTTGGAGTCCATACGGGTGTCCACGGCAGGTCACTGTCCAGTGGGGCTCTGTGCTGTACAGGCTTAACCATGTAGACTTTTGGGCCTGTCCTATTGTCAGTAACAGTGGATGATGATGGTTAGGCCGCAGGCCTTTTTGTCTCAAATAGTGAAATATATATATATATATACAAATATATATAATCAGGGAGCCTATGAAACGAATCGAATCGTGCATCTCGAATCGGTTTTGAAACGGAAACGCTCGAAACTAAACGAACAACGAATCGGAAACGATTGAAACGATAAATTATTTGAAACGAAACGAAACGCAGCAAATAAATTTGTTAAACGAAACGAACCGAACCGAAAAAAACACAAAAACGAAACGTGAAACGGTGGAAAAGAAGGGCGAGAAAAATTACGAAACGGCCGAATCGCACGATCTCACGTTTTCTCGCGCTCGCATGGTCAGTCTCACATGCCACGGATGCGCTCGTAGACAGGTCCTGGGCAACGCTCCCAAATCGGAAGCCCAGCTCTGCTCGGAGTCCATGGGTTTTTTTGGTTGGGTTGAAGGTATGCGCTTTGAGCCCTGTGAGGCGTCAAGTCTTTTTCAGGGCTGTGGTGCCACGGGACTTTTGGATGCCAAGTCGTTTTCCAAACGAGCCCCCATCAGACCTTCTGGAGCGTCGCGATAGGCTTTTCTTAAGCAAGACTGAGCCTTCTCAGGCAACAGGTGATTTCACGATAGACTGGGGTATCACGCTACATGAATGGCACATGTTGGGGTATGAGTGGCACTTTCGCTCTTAGGATCTTCGAAGAGCCTGACCAAGGCGGAGATGCCCCATCCACCCAAATTGCCCCAGCTGTGTCAGAGTAGATTACTGTGTAGGGCTCGCCGGAAGAAACGACCGGCCTCAACGGACTGCTGTATTCCTGCATGGCTGGAATTTGACCCCCGCACCATTTCCCAGTCTGAGCCAGGTCTGAACCTGGCCTGAGAAAGCTGCTGGGTTCACGAGTTTTACATGCATGGCTAACTATAAAACAGCCCCGTGAGAGAAAGGTCGCTACGAATTGTTATCGTTGGTCTCTTCCACCAAAACACAAGATCCGAGCTTCTTCCGAGCCTCCATCACAACCCCCCCCGTTGTTGGAATCAGAGGCGCAAAGCTTCACAGCGGATCATCCACCGGCCAGGCACAGGGCGCTGATGGTGGAGCGCGGGGCACTGGAGATGGACTCAGATGGGCTCCAAGCAACTTACCGGGAGAGTCATAGAACACAAAGCCAATTACACTTTGAAAACACAAAAAAAGCAGATGGGCTCCAAGCAGTGCTACCTACCCCCTGCAAATGATTTTGATTTCGCGGATTCAGATCCAAAAACACGCTGCTGCCAGGCACAGAAACACAACTTAGAAGGCCTGCTGCTGAGACCCTTTCCAAAGGCCCAAAACCGTTGCGCAGACCCTTCCGTGGACCATTTACCTACTGTTTGCACATACTTTCAACAACTCCCCCCTTCGGAAGCGGAGGGCTGCATGTTTCCACCTTGAAGCGCAGGCCCATCGCTGCTATGGATAGATGCCCAAGAAGCAGCTGGGGCCTCTAACATCAACATCAAGCAAACGAGGGAATGGCTGCAAGTTGTTGACAAGGGTGCTCAGCTTGGCAGCACCTATAAAGTGGAAGCCGGCGGTGCTTGGGGACGCCAGAAGAATTGGACTGGCAAAATGTTAAAAGTAAAGTGGAGCTGTGGCTTGATTGAGAACAAATTAGATCAATGCTCTTTTGGCTAGGGCATGCTCGGATTTCATATTGGATGAGTGGCCTCAAGAAAAAGACCCAGGCCCTAAAGTTTTGTACCCCCAGAGTCGAGCCCAGCGAAAGTGCTGCATGTCGTGATGCGGCAACCCACCCACAAGAGATCCCGCACCTCTTTCAGACCTGGCTCAGACCACTAGCTATGCGCGCGACCTTTAGGCGTTTAGTTTAGTTGTTGCGGTTGGTTCTCCGTCAGTTCTTTGGGATGGGGTGCGACCTGGGATTTAGTTGCTGTGGTTGGCTCAGAGCCTGTCT